ATTTTCCATATATTATATCCCATTATATCACCTTGAGCAGTTGAGTTTGTACCTGTTTACTGATTCTATCGCAAAGGTTGCTAATTTTTATTTGGCAACTATTGTTCATGAAGTCTCTAACAGAGGAGACAGAAAACATGGTTGATGTACGCCTTCGCTATATAATGCCTAGATTATTGCAATGGTCTCCTGACGGCTATCCTCAATTCTTCTTTCTACTTCCTGATCTGGGTATACAACAATGCTTTTAGGTCTGCTCTGGACTTTCCACATTATTTGCATGTCTTTTTATAATGAAGGGGACTTCATTGACTTCCTATTTAAGCCAGAATCCAATTTAAGCAGTTGGCTCTTGTGTTCAGAGCCCCCTGGTCACAAATTCCCTGGTATCTGTCTCCCCTTCTTTCTCCCTACAATCCTATTGTTTACATTCGTGTGAGCAGGACCTTCTTTCAATTTTGTGCTGCAGGATTAGTCTCCAAGTCCAGGTCTTGAGGGATTTGTCCCCATGATTGGGAATTATATCTTTTTTCCATTAATCTTTGTGGAAATATGATGGTCCTTTTTTTAAAAAAGGGATTAAAGATCTTTTTATTTGATTATTGGCATAGCATAGGATCATGTTCTACACTCTACTTTTATTTAGTTGACAATTCCAAGTTAGCAGCTGTTTTCAATTATTGTACATTAAGTCTTGCTCTACAGCATTGTTTATAATTGTACTGTTACATTATTTATTTTAATGTTAATATTTTGTTTGCTGGGTTCTGAGTTAATTTTATTTGATCAATTTGTAATTATTGTGGGTTTCTTGTTTAATTTTATTCCACACTTTAGAAAGGAATATAATAATAATAATAACAATAATAATAATAATAACAACAACAACAATAATAATAATAATAATAGTTGCTGTTGTTTAAAGAGGTCAAGGAGCACAATCTGAGGTGAAGGCATTCAGAAGAACTGATTGTATGAAGGATCACTGTCAAACTTCAGACTTCTCAAAATTTAGGTTTGTGACTACTTCAGTAGTAGTTATCAGTCACATGAAATGTTCTATAAGTCATTTCAGATAGATAATAAATAAATAAATTCAATATATGTTACATGGACTGCAGTCCCTTCATTAACAAAGTTCTGATTAAACATCCATAAACAAATCTACCCATTTTAAATCTCCCCTGCTTATTCAAGGTTTATTCATTGAGCATGACTAGATAAATCTGATTCATGTATTAAAAGCGATGCAAGTATATAGAAATTGCCTTATAAAAATCTCTTCCTTGATTCAGATCAGCTAGTCGTCAGTTATCAAAACAGGTTGCAACCACCAGTACAGTACAACATTATTGGGTCAAGGGTGAGAATACAAGCATGTCATGATTTAATCATGATTTTTAAAAAATGTTTACATCATAATTTTTAGGATGGTCCGAACAATTTCCTAACTCCAAACATGTGCAGCTCCTTCCCCTCCAAAAGAAATTCTAGCAGACCTGGACTGATGGGGAAGAGAAAATGATGAGCACAATTTTTTTCCCCCGGTACTTTCACTTCTCCTGTTCCAACAATACTTCTTGCATCTCTCTTGTCTTACAAGTTCGCCTCCCGAAAGGGCTATTGGGTTCCAGTTGCATGCATTTGCATGCGTTGTATGGTTTGCCATAAAGATTTTTAAAAAAAAAAACAAACTATGCATATCCCTTGTATCTTTCAATACATCATGTTAAAGGAGGCCCAACTGAAAAAAAACCAAGATAAAAACCCAGGATAATAGGATGGGAGCCTTCAAGACAATAAACAAACTGTCTTTGGATGATCCATAGTGCTAGAGGAATTATCTCTAATGTGTTGGCATTAGTTCTCCAGTTGCCTGATAAAGATTACGTTGAGAAAGCATTCTGCCATTAAAAGCCCCCTTCCCCCCTCCTTCACTGAAATATAGCCTGACATTCAAAACCAGAGGCCTGCTTTTACCAGGTATTTCTTTATAAAAGAGATCCTAATCTCAATAAGATAAACTGCTTAAATAAAACTTGGTGAAAGAATAGGCTGAATAGCAGATTATGCTGGAACTATTTTAAAATAGTCTGCTTTTCAACAATTCTGTACTTGTATCCTCAAGGAAGCTGTTGTTTTAAACATTATCCAAGCATGCATTTACTTGGATTCTGTTTATTTTTAAAAAAAATATTAATTAGTATTGTATTGAGAAAAGTTGCTTTAATTTTGTTTATGTTTATAGGCAAAAATTAGCAAGGAGTCAGTAAACAGAACTTCTTCATCCTTCTAATCCTTTTCCCCTCCCCTTCTATATTTCATTTATTAGTTTATCTTCTAGGCGTTACATCTTACCCTTCTCAAATCTGCAGTGTATTGCGTAAAGAATCCAGGTGGCACAGATCAACTCCATTCACTCAAGGATGAGAAACAAATGCATATAGACAGAAATATATATATATGCCATTTTAAAAAGAAGGAGAAACAAAGCCACTTTTAACCTTCTATTTTATGTTTGTGAAAGTATGCTTGACTCAAGAAAATAATCTGCTGTATAGCTCTTCCACTAGTGAAATAGCTCAAGGCTGTCACAATTGTGCCTTTTAAACTAAAGATGTCTGTTGGTTCACTTCTCCCTCACAGGTAGTCCTTGACTTACAACAGTTCGTTTAGTGACCATTCAAAGTTACAACATCACTGAAACAAGTGAATGATGACTGTTTTTCACATTTACGACCACTGAGGCATCCCCATGGTCACACGATCAAACTTCATGTGCTTGGCAGCTGACTCATATTTATGACAGTTGCATGTGACCTTCTGACAAGCAAAATCAGTGGGGAAGCCACATTCACTTAATAACTGTGTTATTAGCTTAACAACTGCAGCGATTCACTTAACAAATATGGCAAAAAGGGTCATAAAATGGGGCAAAACTCACTTAATGACTGCCTTGTTTAGCAACAGAAATTTCGGTTCTCTTGTGGTCGTAAGTCAAGGACTACCTGTATTAAATAATCTGAGGTAAGGAGACAAAATTGATATTTAATCTTGTGGAAATTTTGCTAAAATTAGACTGAAATTATTTCTATAATAATGCCTTATAAGCTCATTTTAGCCTTAAATTTATGAACAAGTCAAGACACTCAGTGGCCTTCAGTAATTAATCCTGCAATTGATTTACTATATATTTTTCCTCACATTTATGGATTGTTGCAACATTCAAAACTACTTTAATTTCTGTTGCTGGATTTCTTAACACAAACTAAAGTATATTTAGTTTGAAATAAACTAGTATAGTTTGAACTGAGGTGTTAAAAAAAAAACTTTGCATGGACTGAAAGTTAACAGCTCAGCAAAACATTTCAAAGACTCCTACAATTAAGGTGCTTTTATTCAAGTCAGATCAGTATTTCAAAGTTTTTCCTATGGATTATTTTTATTTACACAAATCTCTTTCTGGGTAAGATATTGAATACATGTGTTTAAAGTTGGGGTTTTCTGCATAAGTTTGATTTGTTTTTCTTCATATATTGAGTTTTTAAAATTATGGATTTTTTAAAAAAAGTGTTTCAGCAATTAAGAATAGTATAGCATTACTTTATTTAGTAAATATAATTAGGTTTATTCATTCCTCTGCTGAAGTGGCATGGTTAAAGTAACATTTTATCTTTAAGTGGATCTAACAAGCAAACAATTGTGGAAAGTATTTATTGATGATTACAGTATTCAGCTTTAGAATATTTCCCTAAGTCAAAAGTAACTAAACAAATTCAATAATTTTTTGCTGAAAATTATGTTCTTTGGGTGAATATTAAATAACTTTCTGAAATATTTGCTTCTGAGAAAAATCCCTATATTTTTTCCAAATGACAATATATATACCTGCATGCATAAATGCAGACCTATACATAAGCACAAAAGGAAAAGAAAGCAAATTAATTCAAAACTATTTAATAAAAGTATAAATGCAGAGAATATGATCTACAAAATTAACACATTCCATCCAGACAATAATTAAGATCATTCAAAATAGGGAATTCAAACTTTAAGCAAAGTATACATATTTGGAATGTCTTGCCTTTAATTTTGGTGTGACAAATTTATTTTATCCAATAGGAATATAAAGTATATGAAATTTATTACTTTATTGTAGCTTTGTAAGAATTTTTCAAAACCTGTTTAATGTAATGAATTATTTATGTATATATGTATTATATATATGCATATGTACACACACATACATACACACAGGGCTTTTTAAGAGTCTCTTTTCCACCGCCTTGAGTTTGGACCGGTGCGGGAGTAGTTTGGGATCCTGGCGGGGAAATCTCTTGTCCTTACGTTCATTTTAAACCCTCCCCGATAAAGGCCACGCCCTCCCCGATAAAGGCCACGCCGGCCGGGCCTTTTTCCACGGCCTTGCGCCAAGACGGCGCAAGGCCGAGAAAAAAAGCCCTGCATACACATACATGCCTACAAATGTACAGTGTGTATGGGAAATATTAAAATAATGAATACACATAATACTTTTCTAAAATATATTTTCATTGTTTCTAAGCATTAAATTGATTTTGTCTGGGCCTCGTTATTCAAATGCATAAGCAAACAGCTTGTGTGCATGCTGTTTGTTTTAGTTGAAGAAATGCTAATTTTTGCATCCAGAGAGTTAAACATTTACATGGGTCTCTGAGTATAAGCAACTACGGTATCTTCTCTGTAGTTGTTATGCTTGTGCTTGCATTAAAATCCACATGAACTGAGAAAACACTTGAAATAAACTATTTTGTGAGGAGTTGTTCACTTGGATGCTCACTTCAGTCGAGTTGTGCCTTGTTTAGGTGGAGTAACTTCATTAATAGAAAACCAAATAGTCCCAATAATGAAAAGACTACTAGACTACTTAGAGTTTGGTGGATTCAATAGTGGACATGTGGGGACTAGGAAGTATGATAAATGAACAGATATGGAAAAAGCATTTGTAATGGACAAAGTCGATGGAGGCTTCTGGAGCAGTATTTAAAGCTCAGCCAGTAGAGAAGGAAGAGAAGGGTTGGTCAAAGTAACATTGAATCAGGTATTCCTTCAACTCATTTGAATGTTACTAAACTGTCCTTACTCAGTAACAGAACTGAGAACATTTGCACAGGGTTGCTACTGTGATTTGGTCTCTTTAATAGGTAGGTGCCTCTCTCTCGTCTTTCATCAGTATTAAATTGACTTTAGTGAAGCAAAGATTATTACTTTGAATGAATAGAATAGCCTTGCTTGACACACATCCAGCCAAATGCATATTAGAAGACCGTGCAAAGACAGTTCCCTTTTGTTAGAATAGGTATGATAGGGAGGTTTTTTTAATAATATGATTCCATACTTGGTGCCAAACAATAATTCACTTGAGGACTGGAGCAGGTTGGCATGTGGCACAAAATGGAGGCATCCCTATTAAATGGAGGCATCCCTATTTTAAATTAATTGTTCTAGTAATCCAACTGGGATTAGTGGTAATGGCATATTCTCAAAGTATACTTTTTGTCTATCTGGTACTGTGCTGATATGTTATTTCTTGTAATAGCTGGTTTTATATTCTTAGCTTTGTGGAGTATTCTGATTCTAGTGAAATCAATGTGCCTTTTCTCTTTAAAGCTTTCAGATATTTGGCTAATGCATCATGGAAAGAATATTAGCTTTGGCTGCACCACAGGCCTTAGCCTCAACCAACAGTCATCCAAAATCCCTGCCCTTTCAGCATAACCGATGGTGACTTGAAAAAGAGTAGGGAAGATTAACTGGGCCAGGATGTTGTACTTTTTTCATGACTTTTCATGAAAGATATTCGGTTGCAGCATAAATAATAAATAATTTGTAGATTGTTTAGCTTTGCCTACATGACCCTTCTTCTTCTTTTCTTTACAGTTTGAAAGAACATCACCGTTCTGCCATTAAAGTGATACGCCGTATGCAGTATTTTGTGGCAAAGAAGAAATTTCAGGTGAGTTGTTGAAAAAGTACTTTTTTTAAAAAGAATCTCCTTTTTTCTCCTTTTTTTTAGTTCTTGCTTCTTTTAAGTCTTAAACAAGGAAAAGCCAGGGAAATCCATTTTAATATCAGGGAGCTATTCTTACTCTTCTCTCTGTTCTTCAATAGGGTGACTGTTTATCAGCAAGTTACTCAACTGTGGATGCAATGGGAACAGGCTAAATTTCTGAAATGCAGCCTGAATTAAAATGTTATTTTCTACTAATGGACTTGACCTTTCCCCTTTTGTTATCTCTGTCTCCTTCCAATGCAAACATTCTCATATGTCTTCATTAATTCTGAGCTGTGTCGTGCTGATTTAATGGACCTAGAGATTAGACCTCTACCTTAACCTTGTTTCTATCTCATATTAGCTGATATCCTGATACAAAGCCTAGAACCAAAATTAACATTTCTTGGGATTATAGGCATATTGTCCTGAATTTTTCTAAAATTGTTTACCTTGGAATTAAATAGCATAGACAAAACCATGTTTATTGCAAGCAAACAAGCAAAGAATGAGTAAGTGAGCCTATTATTCTAGCATGATTCAGCGAGTGAAAAAATAATAATGGTTGAATTGAAATACTAGTTTAAGAAAACAGGTGTTTATGGTACAGATGTTAGTATTACATAATTACTATTGCATATTTTATTTTTCCCCTACCCCCCCCTTTGCCAATCTAGAAAGAGACAGTTGCACTGAGAAGTAATAGAAGTCTTACTCAGCTTTTTTCTCTACATTCTAAAATTCAGCGAGCATTTTCTACAAACTTTTAAACACATATTTCCAACCAAAAGGGCTGAAAACTGCTTTTTTTAAAGAATACTATAAGTTCATATGAAGTATAATTCTGTATTTGATTATTTTCTGGTGCTCCTAGGAACTCAAATTGTGGCTAGAGAAAGTTTTCAACAAAAAGTGTAGGAGGTCTTAATCTGATGAAGATCTTATAAATACTTATTAAAAGATGTATTCTTCTTAATAATTAAGCAGAAGTAGGCACCCCATTTTATTATTGTGATTATGATAAGGTTGTATCTGAAGCCACACACATCCTCAAAGATCACATTTGATCATTTACAGAAACTTCAACTATGTTCATCTTCCAACAACAGGGAACTTAGGCTTTGTTTTTTAAATTACAAAGCAGTTTTTAATCAAGATAATGGTAAATTGATAAAACTGGCTAATAATAATATCATCATTGATTGGAAACAGCATAGAGAGAAGAAAACTCAACAGAGCAATTTGTATAGCCATTCATCTCTCTACAATTGCAGCCTTAGAGCATGCTTCAGTTTACTGGGGAAGGAAATGAAGCTGGTATTATCATGACCAGTAAAGTAATTTATTTCCTTCTATCTGGCTTCATCAGAGGAAGAGTTGAGAAGAAGAGCCATACCACTGGTTCTACTACAAGGTCAACATCATCAAGTTCTTTCTTACACAAATGCCAAACATATATTCTTTTTATTGATTTAATTGAGCAAAATAGAATTTATGCTGGAACATTTCAGGTTTCTTCACATCTTTTTCCATCTTTCCAATTAAAATTCATTTAAAGCTATGCAATCAGTACAACTAAGAAATCGAATTTGGACTCATAAAAAATTACTAAAATATCTCTTCTCTAGTGAGTAACAGAAAATTGTTTTCCATATCTGATCCACAAAATGAGACCTATCTGTAATCAGAAGTAGTGACTTAAGTGTTCAAGGAGCTGTAGAGTTTCAAAGAATCATCCTACAAGTATAAATATCTACCTATTGTGCTATTTCTTTTTGGGATAAGCAACGTTATGCTAAGCACTCAAATTAATATAAAGTAGTAACAAAATAATAAAAGGCAGGAGGTAAGGGGAAAGAAATTTAACTAAAACCAGTTTATACCAACACTATTCATTATACTGCTCCATGCTTAGATATCCACTAAGTCTTAATTAATTAATACATTGTCTCTTGTTCTTTGAATTTCTCATCTTTCTCTTGTTGACGAACTCATGAATTCTGCCCAACCATACCTTTCTTTCTCTTTCCTCTGAAACCTTCATATTTGTTTTCCAATTCAGTCCTCCTTGATTCTCTTCATATGACCAAATGTATTTCTTTTGTACTGGTCATTCACTTCTGTGCTCAGTCCATTTTTAATCTGCTTTTTCTCCATTTGAGCATCTGTCCTGTTTTTTTCCACTCTAATTAAAAATTAACAGACCACATAATGCCTTCTATCTCTTTATTAGTACTTGTACATCTTATAATTTCTCTGTTTCCCTATGTTTAGAAAAAAATTCTATCAAATTACAAAATATCTGTTTGCTTCAGTTTGTTGCTATTTATATATAGCTTGCAAGCCTTCACTCAATTCCCTATCAAAACAGTTTCCTTATTCATTGATTCATTAATGTTTCATTCCCTATTCCTTGTTGTATCAGTTTATTTAGAAATCTTTCACCTTAACAAGCAATACAACACTGTCTGCATAAAAGGTCCACTTGTCTCCATATCCCCAACTATCATACTTCATAACAAGCTTTCCTTATGCTTCTCTATATAAATGCATTAAGGAGATCGTGGACGTCACTCATCCTTTTCTTGTTCAAATTGAACTATTCCCTAAGCATTCCATTTGTTGTCACATATGTTTTACTTCTCTCATATAGCATTGTTATCTCATTCACAAACATACTTCAGGTCTGTGTTCATGCAAAATATTTCATATTTCAAATCTCTTATCATATGCTTTCTATAAATCAACAAGCATACATTAAACTTCGTCACATTCACATAAGAAGGCAAAGGCCTTGCTAAAGTTCAAATATCTGCTCGGCACACTTCCTGCTTTGAATAAAGCTGTGCTATATTTGCCAAAACGTTTTTTCACAGTCATGTCTTACATGCTTTTGATCAGAATTCAGCCATGCACTTGATAAATTAATCCTTCTGTAGTTTTGCATTCACTCTTGTTAACATTCTGTTTTTGTAATGGAGTAATAATGGCATTCTTCCAATCATCAGCAATGCATATATTCTTTGCAAAGACAATTAAACAAGTCATACAGTCATTTCATAAGCAAACTACATTGATATTTTAACACTGATATGTTCCCTTTCATTTATTAAAACAGATTTGCCAAATGTTTGAAAGAGAGGAACATCAAGAATCAGGGAGCACAGAACTCCAAAATCTGTGGGAATGTTCTGGAATTTCCATTTTATAGAGCAGCTTCTCCAATATAGAGAGCGACATTTCAGATATATTAGACCAGTGTTTCTCAACCTTGACAATTTTAAGGCATGTGGACTTCAACTCCCAGAATTCCACAGCCAGCATTGCTGGCTGTGGAATTCTGGGAGTTGGAGTTCACATGCCTTAAAATTGTCAAGGTTGAGAAACACTGTATTAGACAGTAATATCAGAACATCTTGCTTTAATTTAATATTTCTTGAAGGCAACAGGTTAGGGAAAACGCTCATAGTATATTTACAGTCTAATATTTTTATAGTATGGTTAGTCACTTCTTTAATAAATATTTATTTAAGAAGATAAGAAGAAACCTATCCCATCAAATCAAAAGTCCATCGAATGCAGCATCCTGCTTCCTGCAGTAATAAACCGGATATCTCTGGGATATCTACAAGCAGGACACGACCACTAGAACAGTTACTAAAATAAATAATAAAAGCTACTGTACAAGTTTAGGGGCCCAGTAATAACAGTGTCTGTTGTGGCTTTCAGTGATGTCACCAGACACTCTTGATGTATTTATAGCTTTAGATTTCAAAGTGTCACCACAAACTGGGCAGTGCTTTACACGTAATTCAGTTACCTTGCTATCAATCAAGAACTATGTATGCAATTTTCTGTAATCACTTCAGAGGGCTTTCTGGCAAACAAAATAGTTCAAAGTTCTTTGTACTTCAAAGAATGTTACACACGCTTGGACTTGACCATTGTTTGGTTATACTACTCAGAACTTCCTGCAGCTGGTCCTTCCCTTTCTGCTTTTCCATTTTGACTCCGAGGGAAACTTGGTAGAAGAATAGCATGCCTCAGCATGAAAGCATAGAGAACAACAGAGTGTGCCATTCTCTAGCGTGCTTTCCACAAGAGTTTTCCTCATGTTATACAGAAAAGTGTACCTTATTGAATATCATCGTTGCCCTGTTTTGTTAGTCTAAGTATAAGCCCAACTAAGTAAAATACTTAAGTAAACACTGATTATACACTGAGGTGCATGGAACCCTGTTATCTTCCCATTGAAGTGATACCTATTTATCTACTCGCATTTGCATGCTTTCAAACTGCTAGGTGGGCAGGAGCTGGGGTAAGTCACGGGAGCTCACCCCATCATGTGGTGCTCAGGTCTTGGACCCGGGCTGCCAGCTCACAAGCTCCACATTTTTAATCACTGAGCCATTGAACCCCCACTTTTGACTCTGTAAAGTTGGCCACATTGATTAGATTTCATGTGAAGTACTGTTGATTGGATAATGAGATAATTCATTAGCTTTATTCCCGAAACAAGCAGACGTTTGGCCAGATAATGCTTCCAATCTCCAACTGCACTTGGTTTGTTAGTATACAGATTGCCGTTTTAAAGTAACTAGAACTTAACTCCTGATGATCTTAATTAAAATGGTTGTATGATAATTGTATGATTATATTTATCTTTCAAACTTGTTTCTGAGAGCAGAAGAAACAGGGAAATCAGATCTGAACAGAGATCTAAAAGTAACTAGTCACAATTTGTTTTGATGTTTTATTTCAAAGTAGTAGGATCCTCCACCTAGGAATTCCACTAGCATTGCTTCCCCAAAATCATCTGCCATTCTTTTATACAAAAACATGCACATTATAAAAATGAATACCAAATCCTTACAGCAGAGAACTTAAAAAGAAAAATAAAACTTGCTAATAAGCTACATGGAAAATAATAAAATATGAATATCTGTGGTTCAGGCATAAATTGGATATTCATTGATCTGCAGGTTGGTCTGCTCAGATTATTCCTTTTCTAGTAGTTTGTTGCTTGGGTGCCTATATCCACATGCCATTGTAGGAGGAGAAAAGCAGGACACTATTTTACCTAATAGAGATCACTCTTTGGGGTCCAGTCTAATTTATTATAGCTTTAGCTATTAAATTCTATTGTGCAATCTGTTATTCAGTTTGGAGCAGAGTGACTTCTATTTTCCCAGATGCATGCATTCTGCTGCCTTCTAGCATAAGAAACTGTGAGGCCACTTTAACATTCAGTAATTTTAAAAGAGGTTTTATATAGATTAGTATAATTTCCTAAAATCCCTAATTTTTGTCTGTTATATGAAGCACTTCATTTTAAAAGTAGATGAAGAAATTTTCCTTAACATTTATAAAATTATGAAAGAGTTTAAAGTGTATTGAACAACAATACTGTATATCACGTGCAGTGGTGAATTTATTCCAAATACTTGAATACTACCCAGTTGAATTTATATGGATTGTTCAAATTATGAAAATCTCTGCTTTACCATGTTATAATAGATGTGCAGGTTAATGGAACACTATAGACTACATGAAAATAAGTCAACAGAGCTTTGCCCCTCACACACATACACACACACACACACACACAGAGAGAGAGAGAGAGAGAGCGAGAGAGAGAGAGACTTGCAACAGGTTGTTATCAATATGGTGCCTTTTATGGGGTGAAATGATAAGTGAGAATATGTAATATATCAGAGATAATGAGACCACTAAGTAAAATATCATCACTCTCACAACTTTATAACCAATAAGAAAAAAGATGGTTTTTTTTAAAACCAACTTCACTGACTTCCAGTTTGTTTCTAGGCCTAATTTTTTACCTTCAATGCTCTAAATACATTAGGACAAAATATTTAACAATCTAGTTCCTTAACTCATGAAAAGGGCTTTCTGCATGTACAGCCATCTAGATATATCACTTAAACACAAGGAATAAACATTTTAACAAAGAACCTGAATTACACCCATTAGTCCTTATCTGTACTATGTAAAATTACATGAAAAAGCTGTGGAAATGAAAAGATTAGCTTTCTATTTTTCCTTATTTCAACTAACAGCCACATAGGTGTGGCATGCTATACTGGGATTTGAAATACTATTATGGTTATTATTTTCTATTTTCACAGCAAGCTAGGAAGCCTTATGATGTACGCGATGTGATAGAACAATATTCTCAGGGTCATCTCAACTTGATGGTCCGAATAAAAGAGCTTCAAAGAAGGTATGGTCGAGAATTCATCTTCTAAACTTAATGATTTTATTTTTTTTTTAAATGTATATTCTGAACAAGCCCGGTATGGTATCCTTACTGCCCCACATTAAATGCCATCAATTTTTAATTGTGAAAACAATTTCTGCCACTGTATCTTACAAATATGCAGGATTATAGAGTGCCCCATGACCTTACACCCAGTTCTAAAATACTTCCTTACCTGCATGGAACTTCAAGTGTTAATGTATCTGATCTGATCACTCCCTGAGGAAAAGGAATTAAGAATGCAATGGGCAATAGAAGCCAGGTTGGAAAATGTGGCATGACAGTGTTTTCATATTGAGAAGGTTAACAGATTGCTTGAAGCCCTGGTGTGTTATAACTAGGCTTTACTGAATAAGTTACTGTTGGCTGGATTCTTACAATATGCTAAGCCATAAATTATGTTTACAAACCAGGACATATTAATCCAAACCATGGCTGGCTAAGGAATTCTGGGAGTGAAAATCCAAAAGTCCTAAAGTTGCCACATTTGGAGACCCCCTGACTTAGAATGATGCATGAACCCAAATTATCCCACTTTTCTCCTGCCTTCCCTTTTATTTCTTCAACTTGATTGTAAGATCTTCACAAATAAGAAACTTCATCCTTCATCTCCCATGTATTTAAGAATCTCATTTATTTTATCAACTAGTGTCTTTAGAGCATAGTTTAAAAAAATTCCACAAATTACATAAAAAGAACGTTATTTTATAATTGCTTTATTGCAGCCAAAAACTATTTTGAACTCATGAGCCCAACATCTCCATATCTCTATGGAAATGTTAACATCAGGAAGTGTTAATAGACAACACTAAATCTTTAGTGAATGAGTAACTTCTTCATGGAGCCTTTTAGCTCACATACCATATCTCTAAATATCACAATAAAAAGTTCATTTTGCAAATAAACCAATAACTATGTAAAACCTTTCATTATTGGTAGGAACACACAAAACAAACACACTTGTTTTCAATTGTCCATGTTTCACCTGGGGGAAAACTTTTGGTTTCTTATTTTATACATTTTTTTTCTTTCTCTCTAGATTGGACCAATCTATAGGGAAGCCATCACTATTTATTTCTCTCTCAGGTAAGTTACCATCCTAGAAAAACACAGAATATATCTTAAATACATTACTTTTCCTAAAATAAAAAAATCCTCATAGAAATAGCAATTTATCCAACCAATGGACAAACCCATGACAAAAAAAATCAGAACAGAATCAAAAGCACTGAATGAATTAAATTTAAAACAAATTAATTAAAATAGCTAATACAATTATTCTCATGCTTTTAAAAAAAATTGGCTTCTGCCACATTAAAAGTTACAATTAACATTGTAAAAGTTATGGTTCAATAGCACTATTTTGGGAAGTCTGAGGAATGCATCCAAGATTTTGAGTGCTACCTGGATCCCTATTGGATATAGCAATTGAATTAGTTGTGCTCATCATTATAGTTTTTATAATTTATAGTGAAACCATAGTATCACTATATTTCTTTTGTGGGAAATAAGATAAGATAACCTTTATTGTCTTTTTTTTTTACTGTGGGCACAACGGCACACATCAAAAATGAAATTTAATTGCCCGCTCTCAAATTGAACACATACATGACACACACCTAACATACTATATACAACATATGCATAGACCCACACCCCTACATATACATAACAAATAAATATTAAACACTGTTCATCTTGAAAATATAATGGAAGGAGGAAGCTTGAGAGTTCACAAGGTTAATGCTGTATGGAATGGAACTATGGCTGAATCTGGATGTGCTGCTACGGATACCACGAAGCCTCCTCCCTGAAGGTAACAAGGAAAACAGTTCATGAAGAGGATATGCAGTGTCCCAGACAATCTTGCAGACCCTGCTTAAGCAACACTTCTGTGCTATGTCCTGGATGGGAGGGAGGGAACTGCCAATGATCTTTTTGGCCATTCTCTGCACCGCCTTCCTGTCTGAAGCAGTGATGCTTCCAAACCAGACTGTGATGCTGTATGACAGGATGCTCTCGATCGTCCCCCTGTAGAAAGTGGTAAGGACAGGAGAAGGAAGATGTGCTTTTCTCATGCGACGCAGAAAATGCAGGCGCTGCTATGCCTGCTTCATCAGTTTCTCACTGTTGAGCGACCAAGCCAGCCTACTCGTTAGCTGCACACCCAGGAATTTGATGCTGGTAACCCTCTTCACAGGTGAATCATTAATGCACAGAGAAGTGTGGCTGTGCCTGGCTTTTCTGAAATTGACAATGATCTCTTTGGTTTTTTCATGAATACATATTAACATTTCATGGATGATGATCATCATCATCATAAGCACACCAGCATTCTTCTTACTTTTATTGTTCTGTATTTTGTTTTGGTGTTTTTGAATCAATCTTGACAGATAGAAGTGGTTTGCCATTGCTACATTCTGCGATGTTTTTCAGCTTCCCAGTCTAGAGCTGAGAGAATGTGAGTGGCTCAGAGTTACTCAACAGTAACTTATGTGCCTAAGAGAGGATTGGTCTTTCTTAGGCACATAAGGGCCTCTCTGCTCCTAGTCCAGGGTTAGGCAACCTTGGCTCTTTTATGACTCGTGGACTTCAATTCCCAGAATTCCTGAGCCAACCATGCTGAGGGGAAAGGGAGAGTTTCCAAGCTGAGCCATGCTGGCTCAGGAATTCTGGGAGTTGAAGTCCACGAGTCATAAAATAACCAAGGTTGCCTACCCCTGTCCTAGTCCAACACCTTAACCATTACACCACATGGACTCTCATTCATGCTCTATTGTACTTTTCAGCTAAACTAGTGTTAAATTTAATTTAAATTTATTAAACTGAATGCACTAATTCTTCTGATTTAAAGCATCACATGAACTCAAGGTGCAGTCTGAATTTGAGTCCATTCAAAGCAAGGCTTGAATTGATGCTAATAAATGAATTTAAAAAACTGCTGTTAATGTAATAAAATTACCCATCTGTCAGCAGGATTCAATTAAATAGCTCTGCTAGACTAGTTAAATACAATTGCATGGCTTCATTCTATACTATTGTAACACTTGATATTCATCTAGAAGTGTCCTTTCTATGCAGAAAAAAATAAAGATCGAGGGAATAATACAGTTGGTGCCCGGCTGAACAGAGTCGAAGACAAGGTAGGCCTAAATTAAACTTTCAATAATAGTTGTATTTTACTGCATAACAAAAGCACACCAGCACATTCTTTTCCTTCCTGATTATTAAAAAAATGCAACCTAATTGTGAGGACATGAACATAGTCAACCAATTTAACAAAGGCAAATTTGTAGAAAATAAAAATATAATTCCATATGAAGATTTCATTTCTAATGAATTGTTTGAAAATGGAAATGGAGGATATGATCTATAACATTTTGCAGTATCTGTAAATGGAGATATATTGTTGAGTATGCTTAAATCCCTCAGATTTAAAGCCTGTGATCTAGTTTGAGGGTTTATTAATTTAATCATTTAAATCAATTGAAATATTTGTTTTTGTGCTATGCCCCATCTTACTCATTATCAAAGGACAACTTAATATGAATATGCAGTATGTTATTGTTACAGCAATTAAAATGCAGTCTAATGTCTGGAGTTATCCATATGTCCTGGCTTGTTTCAACTTATTTGTGCAATTTCTTCTGATTACAGTGGGGGGGGGGGGGAATTACATCACTGTAGAGCTGACAGACAATTGAAAGAAAATCCTTCCCAAAAGACATGGAATTAAATATAAACAAGACAGAGAAGGAAAGAGAAAGGGGTGGGAATTGCTAATAATTTAACCAAAACAATGAATATTTTCCCATAATGAACCAACATAGTTACACAAGTGAAAGGAGCCTGAAAGGATATAATAATTTTATAAGAGCAGGTCCAGCTTTCTCATTTATTATCATCACTGCTGAAACGGTTTTCTTCACTTCCCTTTCCTTCCCTCTACACTGATGGACAGAGGAATAATTGCCAATTGGTGTCTTATTATAGCTATTGAACAATGGCGCGAGAGAGAAATGAGAGGAGGAAGCTTCAAGGGTTCTTTTCTGGGAAATCTTTCTGGGTGAAGTAAATCTGTTTTCTTGAAATGGATTGGATAAAGGTATCCCATATGCAGGCATTCTTAGGGATGTTGGAATCTGCCCCATGAGTTGAACTAAACAAGGAAGTTGTTCATTGATTGCCAGCTGGAAACCATTTTCAATGTATAGCTAGTGCCATGTCAATTGATATGGTACTCATAAATGGAATATCACTTAAATATACTTTGAAATGTCTGAGAACTTTTTAAAAACTATAACATTTCAATTCATTGACACCTGTGCTGTTGTTGGCCAGATTCCACCACATATCGTTCACTCTGTTCCTTTTTTTTAGAGCTGTACACACATTTATTATATGTATTTTAAGAATCATCCAAGCAAGAATCCTGCTTTTTGCATCCTCGTCTTTTATAAGACCAATACCTGCACATCTTTGTACATTTTATATTATCATCTCTTCTACAGGTAATATGTGATCAAGGGCAAATGCACAGGAGAGGTTGATATACTAACTGATTTTTAGAGTAAGGTTGCTTTTGGATGTGATTACATTTTGCTGCTACATTTGCATGTGGCTGCATGTGTGTGGACTTTTGAGTCGAGTCCTGACCCTTGGCAACTACATGAAAACTCAATGTAGGTTTGGGACAATAATTCAGAAGTGGCTTGCCATTGTCTTCTTCCTAAGACTGAGTGGAATGATAGATCTTACCCAGTTGGTTTCATGAGTAAGACAGGATTAAAAATACCAATCTCCTGATTTTTAATCCTGGTATCTTTAACCACTACATCAAATTGGCTTGCTCTTTTGTATTTTTTACCATGCTGTAAACGCTTACCCACTAACAGGAAGAATACACTGCAAGGCTATTAGAATCCTACTAAAGTGGTTAATACTTTCAACTGTCTTTATATGCAAACCGTACAAAGCTCAAGATCTATTTAGAATAAATCTACAAATTCTGTGATACCAATCATCAAAACGAAAGTGGAAAATATTAAAAAGGTAGTAGCACATGAAATAAACACCAGTATTGCTGTCATTTATGAGCTGGTATTCTGCAAATTAGATGTTAGTGTTGTAAGTAATGAAGAAGGCGATAAGGTCTGGAAAACTGAGCTGGTATTTGGTATTCTTTTAAATGATGCAAGTCCTGTTTTGTCTAGCATTAGAGAGATAATCTGATAAGGACAGCAAACATTAAAGTAAAATCACATTCATTTTGTAAGAAATTTGCTTAAATGTTTGAGATGGAGTAAAATATCATGAAATTCCAGGGGGAAAAAATTAGTACCTTAGGTATAGACCTTAAAGATAGAAATGGATATTAACCTATGTTTTTTTTTCAGTAGCTTCCAGGATTTTTTTCTGGTAATCCATTAAAGTTTAAACCATCTATAGTATTTACTTTAAAATAGTAAATCTAATTACAATTTTTTATTCTCTTTTATATATAAAAGATAAAGCTAAATGTCACATGTCGGTTTCAGCTTGCTTTAGTGGGTGCTGCTGATTAATTTGAATTCTTTACAAAGCCAAGATCTAAAAGGAATTTTATTCTCAATTAATCCTAATCTATGGCATGCAAGGTCAATTTACTTCTGTTTTTATTCTCCTTCCATTAGCAAGCTTTTTATTATTATTCATGCCAACTTTTGCTTTAAAGTTTGATTTACTCTGGTGGATCAATTGATACCTTTTTCTTCTTTTGTTTATTTCAGGTATGCTTTTATTGCATTTATTTTTATTTTTTATATTTTATTTATTTCATATTTATTTTTATATTTTTAATACAAATATTGTTAAAACATTGATGTAGAAAGGAATTTTTAATGGCAGAAAGTAGGACAGAAATAAGTGTGTGTTGTATACTGGTAGTACACATTTATGAATCAAATCTGATCTGTTAACTAGTGTTCATACCTTGGTTATACAGGGTTATTTTGAAGGAGTATTCAGTACCGTAATTACAAATGCTGCAAAATATGGTTGCCCAAACAGGACTGTAATTTTATGTCTCCAATATTAAAAGATCTGTAAATTTTATTGTAAACAACCCCAGGTCAAGTAGGTGAGATGGGCAGTGTAGAAGTGTAATGGATGGATGGATGGATGGAGGGAGGGAGGGAGGGAGGGAGGGAGGGAAGGAAGGAAGGAGGGATGGGAGAAGGAAGGAAGGAAGGAAGGAAGGAAGGAAGGAAGGAAGGAAGGAAGGAAGGAAGGAAGGAAGGAAGGAAGGAAGGAAGGAAGGAAGGAAGGAAGGTTAGCTGTATTCCAGGCTCAATTCATGATATCGGCATTTACTTTTAAAATAGAAACGAGGGGGTAACCATATCATTATATATCTGCATGATTATTATGTACTGTCAGACTGTTCCTTTTTTGGGAATACCCCACTGCAGACGTCTCTTTTGGGGAAATATACATGTAAGGTTTTCCCTTGTCATTATTCTCTAATTTTGAAATATTTTTCCCATAGAATGGGAAAAATATTTGGTTGCCAGTTGCTGATAATCAAACAGAGAGTTAAGATACTTCTCTTTAATCTTTTAAACTAATTAAATTGAGTTATAGGCTAACGCAGAACATGACACTAGGACAAAGAGGAAAAGATTCATCACAGATCTTATGGTCTTCAAGGAAAGCTGGAAAGGCAGTGAGGTATTGTTGTTGGGTTAGCTAATTAGTGTGGAATATTGTCATATTTTTCAGCATATTTCTTATTTTATGCTTGGGGTGGGCATGTGCCTAAAAAGACTGCACCAGAGATCATTGAAAGGTTGGGAAATGAAAATCCTGCTTTAGTAGTTCAAATACTGTGACTCTGTTTAGGGAAGCAGGTTAGCAGTGGCGTGTAGCTTTTTTATTTAATATCTGGAGTAGTGCCAAGAAGTCTTAGGTTTCATATATAAAAAGCAGCCTGTATTCATTCAGGAAGTAACCAGGCTTGGTACAAGAAATCTGCAGGGAAGAAGTTAACAAAGCTCTTTCAACAATTAAGCCAATTTTATTTTCCCCAGTTTTTAAAATCCCAATATTTAACCCAGCTCATTCCTGACCAAAAACAAAAGAAACAAGATAAATTCTTGTAGGAACATTGGATGCAGAAAATATATTTTTATGTTATACAATATATGAATATATTTTATGTTTTTATAAAATAATATAAAAAATAAGCTTATTTTACAATATAGCCCTCACTGAAAAGTTTACTGTAAATGTTCTTTTGAATTTGTGAGGGCAGCATGGAATAGAAAGTCCTTTCAGATAAGACTTTTATTTGTGCAGTTTTTAGATGGATTCTTACAAGTCATCTTTCATTTGGAACCATTTTACTTTCTCCTTGATTACGTCATCTTGATTTTCTTACCAAAGAAAGTACGCTAAGGAGACAAAGATGACATAATTGTATACTGCTTTTAATTAGTAATGGTTAGAGCTCTTCCTCTGGAAACAATCTGAGTTACTACCTGTTTTAAATATTTGAAAAGTGGTAATTCATTTGAATTCAATCAATCAGTCAATCAGAATAGAGCTGGACGGGACCTTGGAGGTCTTCTAGCCCAACCCCTGCTTAAGCAGGAAATCCTATACCATTTCAGACAGGTGACTGTCCAATCTTTTCTTAAAAACCTCCAGTGATGAAGCATCTACAACTTCTGAAAGCAAGCTGTTCCACTGGTTAATTGTCCTCACTGTTAGGAAGCTTCTCCTTGATTCCAGGTTGCTTGTCTCCTTGATTAGTTTCCATCCATTGTTTCTTGTCTTGCCTTCTGGTGCCTTTGTGGCAGCACCTCAAATATTGGAATACTGCTATCATGTCACCCCCTAGTCCTTCTTTTCTCTAGACTGGCCATACCCAATTCCTGCAATCGTTCTTCATATGTTTTTGTCTCCACACCCTTAATCTTCTTAGCNTTATGGGCAATGTGATTGGCACGATTGGCCTACTTACCAAGGGGTCATCGTCATAGTCGCTCTCCTGCATCCCCGGCTTGTCCCCCTGTGAGGTCGGAGTTCCCCCTCTTGGGTTTGGGGTTGGGAAAAACTCCATGACCTTCGCAGTTTTCAGGGCTGAGTCCTTGGCTGGGGTAAG